GGAAAGAGTCCCAGTGATTTCATAAGGCTTTGAGTCTGTCCCGCAGACCCTGGACCAAAAGCAAATGTTAAATGAACCTGGAAAAATAAAAAAGGTAAAATATGTATTTAGAGCTCCTTCCATTGTCCCGTGGAGCATTCAATGGGATATCAGCACCCTGCTCACTGTGTGTTTGTGAGTCACTCCCCAACACCAGTTCCCATCACTTCAGTCATGCACTTGGTGTTCCTCAAGTCTGCACAGTGCTGCTGTAGCCTGCATGGCTTTGGGATGTGCTCCTCAGCCACTTGGGTGTGCTTATGTCTTAAGACTGCATGAAATGCCAGCAAAACAAATCCTCACCAAAAGCTCAGAATGCCCAGAGCTTTCCCCTAGCCTCAAGGAGAGACGAAGATGGGTGGACCTACCCACAAGATGACTGGGAATGTTAGAGTGGGGCTGTTCCCGTGCTGGGCCATAAAGCTGCAGGGTGGGACAGCCCTCTGACACCCAGGGCCTTCTTGTCAATCTTTGGCGTCACCAGCTGAGGAAAGCTGTGTTTGAAGCACCCACAACTACTCCTCCTGACTTGTAGGGTGAGAGGAAAGTTGAGAAACTCTAACTGGTGGTGCTGGTAATGTCAGAGATGTGGCTGGTCAGCGAGAGGTGGCTTCACCCAGGACGACAATTCCAGGACTGCAGAGCTCTTTCTGCTCCTGGGATGTATTGACCTAGGATGCAATTTTGCAGCTGATACTTAGAAAAAAAGCAGGAAGCAGGTCCCAAGCCCTGGATGTGTTGCCAGGTGCTGTGCTTTAGCTGGAATGCTGAATGCACTTGGCTGAGTGTGTTGAGGAGCAAAAGGATAGGGTGAGCTCAGCAGGATCAGGTTTGTTTGCCACGTGTTTTCCCCTGTAGCAAGATACAGTCCCTTAACCTTGGTGATTAAGGGACAGCAAATCTTCAGGTTTAGAGTCATATGTCCTTGGAGACAGACTGCAAAACAGATTATAAAAATTCTAGAAATGAATGGATTTATGTACATGATTTCCCCGAATGTATTTGTCTGACCAGAGGAAAGAGCAATTGTGGTAAATCTGAGTGCACCTCGTGTGCAACCGAGGGATTAAAATACCTGCTTCAAATTTAAATCTCAGCTGAACCCCAGTTACAAATGGATGTACAGTCCTCCCTTAGCATTGCTCGTACTGCTGTAAATCTGCCAGCTGAAGCTTGCAAGAGAAAGGAGCAGGTTGCACATGGTGCTTTTCATAGTTAAGCAGACAAGCCCAGCTCAGCCTTGCCCTAGGTAAGAAGGTGTGACAAAAGTAGACTCACCATCATCACAGCACGTGTGGCACCTTTATGTACCTTCTAGCTCCTTTTGTCTCTGGGCCATTAATTTCTAAAAAGGCTTTGACTAAAGAAAGAGGGAAAAATACAATCCTTGGAGCCACTGTCAGTAAAAGTCTTTGCATCATTCTGTAACTATTCCTGGAGTTGTCCCAAAATTGCTGAAGAGTTTGTCTCTGAAGAGTTTGTGGGGCAGGAGTTGGTGGTTTGCCTTTATAAACTAAAAGAGCAAAACCACTCACCTGGGGTGCTGAAGAGCTGGGTTCACTGCAGGAGGAGTCAAATCTGTATTTCTCACCCTTCAAAAGAGTATTTTAAGCACACAGAACTTTGGACTTGTCTCATTTCAGCTTTTTATGTTGAACTCATCGTGTGATACAGAACATTTAGACACTTGTAGAGCCAGAGAGCAAGGAATACATGCTTCCCTCCCAGGCTAATGTGAATCCCTCTTGGAGGAGGTTACACAAAACTCTGCTCTCTTACCTATCTAATTTTTCTACATTAAAGTGAAATACTGTTTCCAGAATAACACGATGCAAATTCTCCAAGACAGATAAAGGATCTGAAACCAACTTTTCCTGTTTCATTAATGACTTTCCTGGTCAGTGACCTTTTGGGTAAAAAGATGCTGAGGTCATTTTCCATGTGAATCTTTATGTCTTAGGTTGCTTTTACAATTTTTTAATGGAGGACAACAGAACAATCCTGGAGCCTGAGCTGCTTGACCAGATGGAAATAAGGGGAACCACATGTATTTAAAGGAGATGGCATTGCTGTTGGCATGTGCTGTCTGCTGGGCTGGGGGCTAGTGGCAGGTGAGCCTCAGAAGTGAAGTGCCTATGCTACCTGACTGGACACTTTTACACTTCTACAGGATACTTGGATTAGTCACTACAGACTCATTAAATTGCAGTTTGGTAACTTGTACCATGTTAGCTTTGTAAATGAGTGTGATGGATTGGAAAATTATGGGTCGCTCTCTGGAAAGAAGCTGAAAACGTGGGCACAATGGGCTGTCCTCTTGTCTGGTGGGACAGATGGGGCGGATTACACAAGTCTCAGTGTGTGGAGAAACTGCAGGGATATAAGTTGTTGCAGTAAGACATCCACTGTGTTCTCCTGCTTGTTCCTCGTTGCCCTTGACTTCTCAATGCCATTTTCACCTCCCAGTGTCGTCTGGTCCATTGGCACTGACCTCTTTTGTGGACCTGTGTCCAATGTACCCTGAAAATCTCAGTAATATGGAGTTTGCTGCCATTCCCATGTCCTCTCTGGTGTTCATATCCTCTATGAATTCCAGCCAGCTAATGAGGCATGTCTTTCCCTGCCAGAAACTGCAGTGCCACTGCTTAACCCCTTGTCTGCCATCTTTCCCAACACCTCAACTGCTACACAAATAAAGCAGGCTTGCTTAGCCCTTGGAGTGCCAGGACATAAAGCATATGTTCATGGTGCTGTGGGGAATCTGAATTTCTTCTTGTGCTGCACAAGCTCTGTTGAGTTTCTGGAGGCATCATAAGAAATTAATCATCTCAGACTGCCCAAGGAATCCTTCTGCTCACAGTCATTACTGAGGTTACCATCATAATGAAGTTTTAATAATCTAATCTGAGTTTCTAGTGTCCTCAGATACCCCCCAAAAATTTATCAGTGTTTCTTGCCTTTCCTTGTCCACTCAGTAGAATTTGTGCAGCTTACCCCTTCACTTCATTTCCTCCCTTTTCCTTTTGTCTGTCAGTCTGTTTCTGTGGTTTTCTCAAGGCCTGTCACAGTTCAGCATATTTCACCAAGAAGGAGGTAATAGTTTTGGTGTAATCTCTGAGGGTCACCTTTATGATGCAGTAAGTGTGGATTTACTGCACCCCTGGTCTGAAGGTGCTCACATACTCTGCCTGAATGTGGTGGTTTAGTAGTATTCAAGCAAATCATTTGATTTGGGGGTTTTTGGTTGCCCACCACTGAATGGACTTATTCCAGCAACAAGGGTGAAATTGTCACTGTTTGGAGTATTGCAGCAGGGAGCTGGGGCACTGGTGCAATGTCACTGGTGCTTGTGTGTTGGCTGAACCA